CCATAACATTCTCTATTGTTTCTCCAGGTGGAAAATTTGTACCCAGAGCCCTGCTTGTTGACCTAGAGCCCGGCACCATGGACAGTGTGAGAGGAAGCCGTATCGGGGCCCTTTTTAGACCAGACAATTTCATCCATGGTGAGAGAAATATCTAAATAGTCATTGAGAATATATTTTTTGCTCTTATACTATATATTACATGATGAACACTGAACAGTGTTCAGTTTGTGAATGTGTCACAACTTTTGTGTTTTATAGCTTTTACATTTTTAAGTTTTCCTCATTGCAATAAGCACTGTATGATTCTGTAATTGTATTGAAAAGTGACAGAATCAGAAGCTTACAGGCTTTTTCTTTTTTGTTTCAGGAAACTCTGGAGCTGGCAATAACTGGGCAAAGGGCCACTACACAGAGGGAGCAGAGCTGGTGGAGCAGGTGATTGACAGAGTGAGGAATGAGAGTGAAAGCTGTGATTGCCTGCAGGGCTTCCAGCTGGTTCACTCATTAGGGGGTGGTACCGGTTCCGGCATGGGAACCCTCATCATCAATAAGATCCGAGAGGAGTACCCTGACCGCATCATGAATACCTTCAGCGTCATGCCGTCCCCTAAAGTCTCTGACACGGTGGTAGAGCCATACAATGCTACCCTGTCGGTCCACCAACTCCTGGAGAACACAGACGAGACCTTCTGCATCGACAACGAGGCACTCTACGACATCTGTTTCCGTACGCTGAAATTGACCACACCGACTTATGGGGACCTCAACCATTTGGTCTCTTTGACCATGAGCGGAGTCACAACGTCCTTGAGATTCCCCGGGCAGCTGAACGCAGACCTGAGGAAGCTGGCTGTCAACATGGTGCCTTTTCCTCGTCTCCACTTCTTCATGCCAGGCTTTGCTCCCCTGACGGCCCGTGGCAGCCAACAGTACAGAGCCGTCACGGTGGTTGAGCTCACTCAGCAAATGTTTGATGCTCGCAACATGATGACGGCATGCGACCCAAGGCGAGGGCGCTACCTTACAGTTGCAGGTATCTTTCGTGGTAAAATGTCCACCAAAGAGGTAGATGAACAAATGCTTGCAATCCAGCAGAAAAACGCCAGCTATTTTGTGGACTGGATCCCACATAATGTCAAGGTTGCCGTGTGTGACATCCCACCCCGAGGCCTCAAAATGGCTTCCACCTTCATTGGCAATAACACAGCCATTCAAGAGATATTCCGCCGTGTGGGCGAGCAGTTCTCCTTGATGTTCAGAAGGAAAGCGTTTCTTCACTGGTACACAGGGGAAGGTATGGATGAGATGGAGTTCACTGAGGCAGAGAACAACCTCAACGACCTGGTGTCAGAGTACCAGCAGTATCAAGATGCCACTGTTGATCAAGATTCAGACGCAGAATATGAAGAGGAGGAGGGACCCTCATCATCATTGTCAACAAAGTTTCTGTCGGAAACAGTCAAAGGAACTGTAGATGAATAGAAAACAGTTTAACACCTTGACGCTGGATGTGAAAAATGGGATTGTTGGAAAGTTAACTTTTTAAGTTTAAATGATTGCTGGTTTGTTGGTCGGTCAGTTTTATTGATGGGTTGGTTGGTTGGTTTAGATGGCCTTTATTTGCTGAAATGTGCTTGGACATGTTCACAGTGCTTATCATCTTTTATGTATTTTTCAAATGTTTGTATGGTTGTACATTTGTTTTTTAGGATCAGTTTTGGTTTTTTCAGAAAATATTTGAAAATCAACATGATTGCATGTATGTATGGAAAATGTTATGTCATGGCACCAATTAATATTATAATCCAAAAAATTAATGTGATGTTCAGAGTTTGTCCATTTTATTTCTAAACTACAATAGATGTTACATTGAGTGTTGTTGTCCACGTGATTATGAAAGTAATTAAAAACAGTAAAACCAAGGAATGACCATTTTTTGAACAAATAAGAGTACATTTAGTACAACACAATGTTGATTTATCATTTTAAAATGACTAAACTATGTGGTGATGGACAGTGATCTGACAGCACTGTGACAGCGATACTGTTCTTTGCTGCCACACAGTTTCCTCCCGCTGATACAAGTCTGGTACATTGAGATTACACATAACTCGGTCAATGTGTCTGCACTCTGAGATAAGCACAGCGACGTGGACATGTCCCTGCAACACTGCAATAAAGTCGACCAGACTTATGTACTATATGAGGTAAGGCAGGGTAAAGAAGATAATACTGCATATAGCACACATGTGAATGTAGGTTATGGTGACAAAGACAGTGTTGCATCACAGAGAGCAAACGACTTCAAGTTCCAAGATAGAAAAAGAAAGAATATTAATGTTACCACTAAGTAGGTGAAGTTAATATATAACTAAACATTACCAAAGAAGCAGACATCACTTCTGCTGTGGATAAAATAAAGTCCAACATGTTAACAAATCTTATTTCATGTGATCCAGAAAGACACTATGTCTACTGAATGCTGATATCGAGCGTAATGATGAACCATAAATTATCATGTAGGGGCTGTCATGCTAAGCTCAGGAAGGACTGGTGGTGCCTGTTGTACAGCATCGCCAGAGATTAGAAAACCAGCACTCACTCAAAGAACATTCACAAGACCAGTGGGTCCCAAACGTTTTGACTTGTCAACCCTTAGCCAAAATTAGATATTAAACTTTGTCATTACAGGACTGTTCAACCAAAGAGTGGTGATCATTTTCCCTATATCATTTAAACCATTGTTTTGGATTCTGAAGAAGTAGAATTATATTATTATAATTCACAAGAACAAATACGAAGTGATCACAGATTATAAAAAGATTATAAATCTGTAAAAAATAAGTAAAGAAATGTTTTTATCACCTACTTTCTTCTCATGTAAATCATCTCACAACCTTTCAGATTTGTCTCTGTAACTCTAATATGGGAACTGTTGAACTAGAGTAGTATCTATAACTAATGTTATAAGTGTTAATTGCAACAACATTAGAATTACCATCCTGTAGCTGTAGACTGTTTCTTCACATTATGCTGACCTTTGACCTTTTGGGTATAAAATAATTTGACTTCATTGTTTCAGACATTTGTGCTCATGAGAATAAGATGTACCAAAAAAACTGAAAACACGATGCCTGCAGCCACAGCCATAATGGAGACATAAAAATGAAGAAACAATTGGATGTTTTAATATAAAAGTGCAAATACAACAGTGAAGAATTGCAAGTTCTTAATTTGTTTTTACTTAAAAGCAGGAAAGTAAGTATCAAAAGTTCCTTTCTCATTATTCTGAATAGCCCGTATCAGAATAATTATTGTTTTTGATGTAATAATGTGAACATCACTTAAATGTTGCAGTCGTTAAAGGTAAGGGGACCTTTTAATTACTTTATAAACGTGACTGATGTGTAGTTTAACATAAAATACATCTAAGTTTAGTTGACTATATTTTTGTATTATTATACTGATCATGAGGGTGAGGTTTCTATTCTAAAAAAAAGGAACATTGCTTGTAACTAAAGCTTTGAATAATGTGGTGGGGTAAAAAGAGCTATATTATAAAGTAATATCAAATGGAACAATTCAAGTAAACAACAAATGATAGAGAATTAACACTGAGTGATTTTCCAGCAGTGATCGGTAACCCACATTATATCATTCCTCCAAGGTTGCACAGGAGAACTCTCAACCTTCACTCAGCTGAATTGTGTAACATCAGAGGTGAAATGGACTGTAAACCCTTCAGCTTCAGTTCCGTAGCTCAACACAAAACTCACCGCACGTTACACATTAAACAATAGTCTTGTGATTCTCCAGCTGAATTAACGTCGCTCATCGATTCTGGATCATTAAATTAAATTATATATTTTTCATTGTCACGCCAGCGGTGAACTTGAGCGGCATGAATGGCAGCCTCCCCCCGGAAGTGCGTCACATACCGACAGTCACGTGGCTGCTCCGGTACAGCGGGAGGAGGGGGACCCGCGTTACTTCACTCGGTGTCAGCTCCTGCTTCTACCGGCTCATCCACCACGATTCTCCGGCCCCGGCTGCTCCTCTCACCCCGCCACAACCATGAAGATCTGGACCTCCGAGCACATATTCAAGTGAGTGTTCTGTGAACCCCGGGCCACTCGTGTTAGATTCAGCCAGGTTCACCTGAGGCTTCGGTTTTAATCCGGTGATCAGCCTCGCCACGGGGTTTTAAATGTCTTGTTTTTGAATGAACATCACGTCGTATGAACGGACGCACGAAGAGCATTAGCGTACATTTAATATTTCCATGCGATCAACGTAATGATGGTGAATAGAGAGAGACCGTGCACGATGAGAAATTGCGTAACGAGTCGCTCGAGCCCCCAGCGCGCGACCTTTCCTCTACATCGTGTCGTGTCTGACTGCGTCACCGGGTAACGCCGGTGCGTCGCCCTGGCAACCATCCACCACTACGTTCGACTGGAGAACGTTTTTAAATTAATTATTATATTTTGTCATATTTATGAATTTATCGTGTCAGTGCTGCTGCTGTAGAAGCAAACGTAGCCTGATAATAACACTCAAACACATTTAGTTACACGTAACTGACTCTAAATCTGTGAAATGAATTTGATAATGTTTGATCATGTGAAATATTATGAGGATTTTAGATTTTTCAGTATGTGCCCGCAGATTCGTTTATTCAATCAATCGAATTTCATCTGAATAGCCCATATTCACAAATCACAGTTTGTCTCAGAGGGCTTTAACAAGGTGCGACATCCTCAACAAGAGTAAGAAACGTAGAAACCTCAGAGAGAGCCACTTGTGATTGATCCTTCTCCCCGGACGGACAGATGTGCAAAAGATGCTGCATGTAACTGAGAATATCAGGAAAATAACAGTATTTACATCATTGACTAGAAGAAACAGTTTGTGTGAATTGAAAGAGTCATGAATGAATTGAGGAGGTCAAGCAGTGTTGCAGTCACAGTCCACGATCAGCTGCCAACACGATTCACGATCTCTGATTTAAGGTCCACCATCATGATCCACGATGTGCACTCCTGGATCTGCAAACAATAAATGTGTTCTTTCCGTATCTCAATTTTTCTGTCAATATTGGATAGTTTAAAGCACAGTAAGTTACCTTAAAGTCAGTGTATATATAATATAACTGTGTAAAGTAACTGCAATAACTGTCAGATCAATGCAATGCAGTGAAAAGTACTTCTACTTTGTACTTCCAAGTACAGTATTTTAGTAGCTTTCCTTGTAATTGTAAATATAAAATAATTAAATCCTACAAATGTAGCTAACCATAGATAGTCTGTGTAGTTATTTGTATGAGTTTTTATAGCAGCGTTACAGTCGTTTGTGTTTTTTGGCTTCCCTTCAACAGCCATCCTTGGGAGACAGTGACCAAGGCTGCTATGCAGAAGTATCCAAACCCCATGAATACCAGTGTGATCGGCGTGGATGTTCTGGACAGAGACATCGACAAACAGGGACGCCTCCACAGCAAACGACTGCTCAGCACAGAGTGGGGCCTTCCATCTATAGTGAAATCTGTGAGTGTCAAAATCTATTTTCATAAAAAATGAGAACCGACCGGTAGTCTGGCTTTATAGTTACTAACTTGCTGTAGCAACTTAAGATGCAGACATGTGACATGGATAAACACATGACCTGACATGTCAGCTTGTGCTCGTGATAATCTGGCTTGAAATGACTTTGAAAGTCAGACTACTCAACGCCACACGAGAATCCAGTTACAGCCTCAGTCAGTTTCATAGGTAGGTTAATGCTTTCCAGCCTCTGAGTTTGACCTCAACCCGCGGGGCTATTTCTGTCCGTCGGTATCATGGTCGCTGCCGGGAGCCTTTACGAGTTCATGGCTTTGTGCCACGGCTCGTGATGTGCAGGACATGGTAGTGCCATTTCTGTCATTGCAGAGGTTTACCCCATGATGGCATGTGATGTAACTTTCCATCCTCGTGTCAGCAGTAGAGGTCACTACAGGCAGAGCAGTCACTGAGGCACTGTTTCTGCAGCTTGTAGTTGAAACTTTCTTTTTTCTTCCACTGTGTGAACACAGTGATAATTAAAGATAATATCCTGTCACTTTATCTTATATAAACATTTGTGGGCTGTTGTTTAGCATTGACCTCTGCTTTCTGTGAATAGCCACCTCTTCATTTCAAGGACAGACTGCGACACAGACTGTCCCAGTGATTGATAGCATATTAACATAACCCTTAATCAGATTGTGCCAAAGCAAATCACCCCTGAGCCTCGGTGTTTGTGTGCGTATAAATTGGATGAAGATAACTTCCTGTGACGTCTGTACTTTTATCCAAAGACAAATAAAAAACATTGACAGCGAAATGCAGCATCGCTTCAGAGTTTAAGTTAGTAGAACAGAGACATCTTTGCATATAGTAGCAATTCAAAAATTATGTGAGGTTTAACAACATCTACAAGAAATATCATACCCCCAGAGGTTGGCCTGAGGAAGCTCAATTGTAAAATACAAACCTGACATTAGTTAAGATGTAATTTCAATATGAATTAAATATAAATAGTTCAGCAAAGACAAGTTTATATATACTTTCATGCAATTCAGCTTTAAGTAAAAAACTGTGTCTCTGTGTTTGTTTCCAGATCATTGGCAACTCACGAACATACACATATGTGCAGGAACACTCGGTTGTGGATCCCAAAGAGAAAAGTTTTGAACTTAAGTCCACAAATGTGAGTATTTATTCAATAACTATCCTCTTTGTTTGGCCTAATGTTGACACTCTTATTGTAAAGTGTGTGACCTCAATATGCTTTGAGTGCAAATATGAATGAAGGTAGTGCAGCTTATCATGGGTGCATTTAAAAAGTCTTCATCTCACCCAGGCTCATTCTACTATACATCAAACACACATTGCTCTGCTACTTTACTCTACTATATGACCTTGATGTCTAAGCAGTTGAAATAGAGTACTAATACACAACATGAGATTATTTTAATCTATTATCACTGCCCAAAGTTACAGCGAGATGTAATTATCAAAGATGGAGATTTTTACACCACATATTCAGACCCTTTCAGTTGTCTACAAAACATGTTCTATTTTGTCAACCCCAAACACCCACAATGCATCTAGATCCATCTTTCGTGACTTTCATCTGACTGAACACAAACATTAAACTTGAGGTATTTTTTGGAATGAAGTCCTGCTTGTTCCTCTGGCTGAGAGCCCATCTCTTGACATTAAACATGTCTGACAGTTTCAACTGTGGCCTGTGATGAGACACGACATAATGTGTCTTACATTTACTAATTTATGTTTTCTTATATTTCCACCGTAGATCACCTTCACAAACATGGTTTCTGTGGATGAGAAGTTAACATACAAACCTCATCCTGAGGATTCAGAGAAGTAAGTTTTTACTGTTTAGAAATGTAAATATTATGGTGATAAATCCTAAGTTTTTTTTCACACTCAGACCTGTGAGGTTGTTAAAGGCAACTTTTGACAATGATTGCTTTGCTTAATTTATTTTATGATTTTACTCATTTTGCTTGTTATTGTTTATTTTCACCATTTATTGTCAATTTATCAAATTTTGTGTCAGATGCTTTATTTTTTGATTTTGTGCTCGGCCTTTTTAAAAATTGAGTCTCTACCTGTATGTATTTCCAAGTTTTAAAAAAGGTTTCAATAACCCTTCTTCTTTAGAACAATCCTGACTCAGGAGGCCATCATCTCTGTGAAAGGTGTCAGTCTCAGCAGTTACTTGGAGGGAGTCATGGCCAGCACCATCTCAGCGAATGCTGGAAAGGTATGTGACCCCATAAAACTGTATGTTGAGTAGGACCTGTGAAATTTGTCTGGTGTTTTCCAGGTAGTTTCTCAAAGTGTGTAAAACAACAATTCTTCAGGTCCTGCACAATCATTTGTTGTGTCAGGTCATAATTTATCATATTCCTGCCCAATTGTAACACTCACTGATTCCTTTATCAGTGAGTGTTACACTGATTCCTTCATCACCTTTAATCAGTCTGTGAATCCTCAAATTTATCTTTGACCCCAAAGTCGACAACCACTGCTCTTTCTTAAATATCTTCCTTCTATTCAGCTTTATGTTATTCTCTGTTTATCTCCTCCTTTTGACTAAAGCTTAACATTTGTTTTGCAGGGCCGTGAAGCCATGGAGTGGGTAATCAGGCGACTGAATGCAGAAATAGAGGATTTGGCAGCCACAGCACGTGTGATACGAACCCCAATGGCGGCTGCCGTCACTGAGAAATGACACCTGCCTGTTTTCTTACAGATTCTGAGAGAAACTGCATGCCACTACAACAGTTCTCCCTTTGTGATGCTCTGGTGCTGTTATGTTGCTCCGGTTACTTTTGTATGGTTTAATTCCTCCATCTGGTATATATTTTACTTTCTACACTAGATATGCGTTTAACAGCATGCAGCATCATGAAGGGATTCTGGGAAAAGTTTTTCTGGAGATGCTGCTTGGCAGGACCGTGGTGATGAGACACTTTGGGTGATGCACTCAGGGATACGTTTTAACAATATTTGATCTGTGTGTGCGGAAACACGTAGCATCTGCAGAGATGCGTCACTGCTTTGGATGAACTGAAAACATGAAGTGCCAAAGGAGACACATCGCAGCAAATACAAGAAACGTTGCTGGCTTTGTTTCCTCCTGCCATAAAGCCCCAGAATGCCAGGAAGTCGTGCCAGTGGCGTGAACTCTGTATTTACAACAACAGAGAAGAAACACAATTGTGGTGCAATAAACTGTTATAGAAGTGATGCCGAGGAATGCTCCTGTAAAGATGTGATGGACGAAAACAATGGTGTGTCGAGAGGTGTCAAGTGCAATGCGTGTCAAGGGTTCATGGAATAGCTTCAGGTGTCAGAGGGAACATCAGGTTATATTCAGCCATTGACAGCGAGATGTGGATGAAGTGTTTTGAGGCAGGTTAATTTGTGGCCATCAGTTCAACAATGTTTTCTTGCGGGACCTCAGTAATAACAAGACACTGTACCAGGCATTTACAAAGGCCGGAATGTAAACTGTATTTTGTTATGACGTGTTTATATTAATGGTATTTAAGAGGAATGAAGGGATCAAGGTACTCGCCATATTTATGTTTTGGATGACTTTATGTAGAAAACCTTCCTAAAAGCTGCCGTACAAACAAGTGTAACAGTTAAAATATGTTTTACTGAAGCACATCAACATTGTTCCTCAGTTGTAACTGAATTCCTTCAGCCCGTCCAGTCAGTTAAAGGCTGAGACTTTTGCAGTGACTCTTATTTGCACTTACTAAATGAGAATTTTTTACAAAGAGAAGCTGCTACACATTCTGAGGGAGCTGATCATTTATGAATATTTGGTAATTCTGTTGTATTTCTGTCTCCGTATGACGTAAGGTGGAGGCTTATGTTTAATT